AAAAAAAAAAAAAAAAAAAAAAAAAAAAAGATGTCAGCCCTTTCGCATTTTCCTCCAAAGTCATATAAGTAGCAGTAGTAAAGAAAACAGGGTTTGTATTTAAGACTGCAGTCTTTTTTGTCCTGTGGCGAGTGGCAACAGTTTATACCTCAGCATCAGATGTCAGCAAATTGTGATGAAAGTTTGCATCAGTCCCATAAACAATGTACACATGAAGATTCTGTGACCTGAAAAACCGATGAACCAAGAGAGGGGAGAGTTTGTGCTCCCTGAAATCCCAGTTCTTTTCTTCTTAGTCAGTTGTAGAGGATAAAGAAAGAGACAGGGTTTCTATGGTCCAGAGTTTAGAGACAAGCTCGGAGTTCTGTGCTAAGATTGGCCAACAGGGCTGACTTTCTGGCTGACAGAGGGCTGATGGAGGAAAAGTTCGCAAGGATAATGGGTGGAGAAAAAAAAAGCGACTGGACCATCATGAGAAAGACTAGGACTTCTTGGAGTCCTGTGTGTTGCGTTTCTTGAGGTCACTCAGGTCCACCGGTGTGAAAGCTGCATGAGAAGACAGAAATGACATGTGCTTGATATGTATCATCCTTCAGTGTGTCATAAAACACAATTTACTTCAATACATCTTTAAACTAAAACTTACAATGTAGGTTAGGATTTGGGTTCTTCTCCACATACTCCTGTGGTCCACGGTCATTACGTTCACTATTTTGTGTTGATCTGATGTCTCTGAGCACACACTGCCAAGCTGAAGAGGAGTAAAGACAACAATGCCTTTGTTACATTTAGGAAATGTCAATAAATGAAATGTCAATAAAACAACTTGGAAAATAACAAGCTCAACATAATGAAACTGGCTCAAACTACTCACCTCGCCAGATGAGTAGTTTGAGCCAGTTTCACTGAATCTGAAACAAAGTCCTGACACTTGCCAACTTGAAAGCCTTCTCTTTAGCACTGTTGTCTGATTCAGATACTGTAGGCCTATAGTTCATTCTCAGCACTTATCAGGTTCCCTTTGAAGCTTTTGACCTCAAGTAGCACTATGGAGCGTTTTCTATGCGTGGGGACATTTTGTTTGTCTCATGCATGCACATAGGTGATGTGATAGTAAGTCCTGCTAATGGCTTTGCATTGTTCCACTGATTTACAGGTTTCTAAACTTCCACAAAGACTAGGCAGTGACTCTTTATCCTCATATATCGCCACCACCTGTTTAATGTCAAGATGTGCGGCCATGTCTGGCAATATTGTTGTTTTTTTGAAGAGGGAAATGTAGTCAGCAAACTTGTTAGACCTCAAGGGCAGAATAAACATGCTTTGGTAAGTAACACTATGCAAACTTAAGTTTTATTTGTTTACAAGAAAAACAGGGTGTTTCTCCTCGCTCAGCAGAGGATGAAAACAAACTCATCACATAGTAGTAGTGTTGAGAATGCGACTGTTTAGTGTGGCCTCTTGCAATAAGGAGAGAAAGCTCCCTGCCAACTTTAAGCTATGATTCTACTATAATGTCAAATATGCACACCTTAATGTTATTAAAAGGAGTCTCTTTGGTTCAGTGCATCAACAATTATATTTAAAAACAAGTCTATAGATTTAAGCTGTATGACATGGAGTTACACAACACACATTTTTGAAATCCATTCTGAAATTCAACACGTCAATATTCAGGAGTACACTTACTATCATGTATAAAGCGCACATTTTCCTCATGTGCAGGAGTGAAGAGCTCCCCACTGTTAGTGGGCGATCGAGGGCTTGAAGTCCGCTTGTAACTATTCACCATCCTGGGAGCAGATGAGCTTCATAAACATGAAAACAGCAACATTAGCAGCACAAACAGAAATTCATATGATTTATCACCGTTTACTGCAAACTAGATTTCACATCATGTTCTCCGGAAGAAAATTTAAAAAGTCACAGAGCTCCTGAGCAAGCAATGAAAAAAGCAGGTATAGCAGTAAGAGTAAGGGGCTAAGCAAAAAATGCAGCGTAATCAAAATAAATCAAATTAAACAAGAAGACAAAAGTAAAAAGTAAAAGTAAAAGATGAGCATAAGATGCATGAGCACTTAAGTGCAGAGACTTTTTTCCAAACCTGGTCATTCTGTTTGCAGTCTGTACTCTCTCCTCGCTCCTCTATGGTGAGTGGAAGTGAAGGATACAAAGGTTCAGAAGTCCTCAGCTGGATTCTTACAACAAACAACACAGACAACTTTAGCATCCCACATGATCCAAGAAGTCAGTTTCTAACATCAATGTTATGTAAACAAGTACATTTACTTACATCTGTATCTAAGTATAATTTAGTGATGTTGGTAATTCACTAGAGAATATTTATCATGCAACATTTTATAGAGATTACTCTTGCTCTTCTACATTCATGGGTCAGCTTTAGGTACAATTTACTTTAAGTTTAAATTATTGATTGAAAAAAAAAACAAGAATTATGAAGGTGTCACTAATGGCTCTGGATAATTGCGAAAGCACAAAAGTCATTATGTTTACAAACCAGGACAATAAACTGCAGGTTAATCCATAATGACAATAATCAATCAGCAAATGTTGACTGTTGAACATTGACAATATTTTCAACCAAAAATAATGAAACACTTGATGTTATCTGATTCCAGGCTCTCTAATGAACTACTTTTCATCACCATCTGTCAATGTAAACTTGATGTTTTGGGTTATTTGGACTGTAACAAAAAAACAAGTGTAGGCATCCGTTTTGGCTCAACTAAATTATGATTGAATAAACAGCAAACCAGTTAATTATAGACACAAATAGGCGAATTACTCAATAATAACAAGACTTCTTTCATTATTACACCATTATTAATATACCAGTCACAGTTATCACAATCAATTTATCAGAGTTACATGTTTAAGTTGTTTTGTTAACTATAAGTTAACCATTCTGCTCTGATTTTCATACTTAATGGACGGATCTGAACATTGCATCCTACGATCTACATTAGTTTGTACCAGAAGCAGTGAATGACTCCTGGTTAGCTCACTGAGTTTACAGTGTTAGCTTCCTCCTAATCTACATCATCTGATGGATTGTGAGAAGTCAAACACCACCAGCTAAAGTGAGTGGAGATACCTGAACGTTGTTAGCATTAACTTACATCCACACAGTCAGAGAACACAGAGGAAATGGACGAGCCAGGTTGTTGTTTACGTTTTGACTTGAGTAGCCTCAGCAGTGTTGGGAACAGGCTACACAGTTTAGCCCAGCGTGTTGACTACAGCTCTCATTTAAAACACAGGACACGGTCTGTAACATCGTGTCCGATGCTCGTGTCTGTGTCTCCCTGCAGCTGCGTCCCGGGGGGACAGCTAACACTGGATCTGCTGACACGATAGTTTTGGCTAACTTTAGCCTGCTAGCTGGTGATTTGCATTGTCTTGTCGTCACGTTAGCTTAAAACAGCTAATATTTCACCAGCGTTGCCGGTGTAAAAATATTTATTAGGAAGACACGTAACCCAGTAGTGATAGAATAAAGCCACCCGACAGAGAACGTAGAGTTAAAATATCCAACCAACCTCTTTTTATTACCTCTCCTTTCGGTTTCTTTATTCACAGACTGTGTGTTCGCCGTTAGACCTGCTAAAACGTTGCCAATGCCAACGAATCATTTCCGGGAGAGGACACGGAAGTGAAAGAACTGTAATG